TTTTCTTTTGCAGCGGGTTACCCTCTCTCGGCTCGATCTATTCCCATCCATTCTCCTTGATCATGTGAGCAAGCTCGATTATAAACTTGCCCTCCTTATACTTTTGACTCGACTCGAACGCATGCTCCTGCAAAATTTCCAACAGATTAACATAATTCATGCAACCGAACGGTACACAGAGCTGTGATCGATTTCTACACGTACGCAACTCTGGTGTGGCTCTGTGTCATCGTCAGACAGATGTACATATCACAAGGCGAATACTTACGTATTTCCACCCAAGGGTGGTCTTGCAACATTCACAGTAAATATCAGCGACAGCATGAAGGCCAGTTAGCAAGACTCGCTCTTCCGCAGGACCACAGCCCACGTTCACCCTAAAACCGGCAAAACGGAACACAACCGTTACTTATTACTTGTCATTTGCACACGTGTTGTCTTTGTCGTTGTCGTATCGACGGGACAGAGGAGGATGGGAAAACGGAAGAAGAGAGACAGACAGAGCGCATACGCAATAACACACAGAAGAATCAAGTTTTCACGGGTAAGATAATAATTCACGCGTCCTACTTTTCCATGACGACCGATTCGATCTCGCTTCTCCAAAGGCAATTAGCATACTTACACGGAATTGAAGAGATAGGCACGACCTTGACTGCCCTGGAAGGACTGCAATCAAGAGGAAAAAGCCTATGTAAGTGTGTGTGTGTGTATATATATATATATATAGTATATAGGGTATATGCAGGATACATATGCGTAATAGAGACACGTAAAAGACGCACAGTGCACAAGTGTACGCAGAGAGTCTCGGAAGTGAATGCGAGAAGTCTGTCCGTTACCTGATCTAGCACGGCTCACCTTAGAGATGAGTTCGTCGTGATTGGCGAGGTGAGCACGGCAGTGAATGCACGAGTAAGTGCGGTGACACGAGGGCAGGTATGCTTGAAAAGTTTTGACCATGATTGCGTGTCCAAGCAAGTGAGGAGATCTTCGCCCTTGTCTTCTTCTTCTTCGTCCTTGTCTTCGTCGTCGTCGTCGTCGTCTTTGTCTTTGTTTTCGTCTTCGTCTTCGTCTTCGTCG